AGTGAGGCCCTTGAAACTTCCAGGCCTGGGTGGTCTCTGCTTCATGAAATCCCAAAGTAGCACGTTTCAGAGACAGATGCCACGACTGCATTCAGGAAAACATTTAAATTCATGCCCATGAACCATATCTGAGTAATGGAGAAAACAAGGCAAGATTTGTTGAATCAAGGTCTGTTAGGAGTGTAGTAAACAGCTTTATCTGGGTAAATCTTAATTCAAAAAAATAAAAATAAAAAATGAGTGTATGGAAAAGATGCAGCGCTTGAACAATTACCCAGGTAGACAGCTGCACTTTCCTACCAGCTGCTGTCCCCATGGGACCCTATGACGTTGTGCACATCATTTCATTTTGAAATGAGAGAAGAAGAATGACGATCGTATACTCACTTAAAAGATTAAAATGTATATACTCAGTTTTGTAAGGACAACTCAGATATCTCTGAGGACTAAGCACTTTTAAGACTGCATGGAGCTGAAACTTCCTGGTGTCTGCTTGAAAGTTAGTAAAATGGTGCTTTGCTTCATGGAGGACTACAGGGTTCTCAAGCTGGAGAAAGCAGAGAACAAGTGCAAAAAGGAATGTTATCTTTTTTTAAAAAAAAACTTCATTGGAACTCAGTATGAAACAATTATTTCTCAGAGTACCAGAGATTATTTTAAATGTTTGTGAAAACGAATAATCAAAACAAGTTAAATTTGGTAATACTTCTGGCATGCCAATGAAGAAGCAGTGCATATGCACATACAATTGCATTCATAGTTAATAACTACTCGATTTATGAAACAAAACAATCTAATGGAAAAAAACTGAAGTGATTTTTTTCATTTGGGAGCTGCAGACAGTTGATTTAAGACAACCATATTGAAATAGCATCACTAAAGCAGGAAAAAATACCCTGACAATTTCTGGCAAGAAAATCATAAATAATTCACTAAGCTGCTCTATGCCCTCACCTCAAATAGACTGCAGCACATGTGCTAATGATTCTGCAGAAGAGCCATTAGGCTTACAGAGCCTCTGCAATCACGTACAAAAAACATCCCTCAGCTTTCTCTATAATGTAATAAAGACAGACACGCCATGAGTTATTGGCGGAAGGGCCAGAGACGCAGAAGCAGCTTTCTGTGCAATGCTTCCTCAAAATTATTGACTGTTTGCAAAAACAATCAACTGATGAAGAGCTGAGAGAACGCAAAAAAAATGCCCAAACTGTACTACATGGAGGAAAGTAGTAACACAGTTAATATTCAAAATCCTTGCAACTTGAATCACAGGTATCCTGTGAGTGATATAATTAAGTTAGTGGTATAATTACAGTTGCAACAAATGAGAACAGGATCTACTCCGAACAGAGCATTAGTTATTTTCTTTATCACTTGAATTTCAGAAGTTCTGCTGATACTTCTAATCTTCATTCAGTTCTCACAGATCAGACCCACTGAATTAACATGAGTAAAAAAGAGTTTGCCTATACAAGTATCTAAACACGTTTTTACATACATCTTTGTGAATGTGTCTGCTTCTATATACACGCACACACACATAAAGAGAAAAGAGTTACTAAAAAATGTGACCTCTGGGGTAAGGGTGAGAAAGAAACACTATTGAAAAAGCTGTTAGAGAGAGGCTATCAACAAAGAGGTAGACTTTCTATTTGAAGCTCTTCCTACGGAAGTTGTAAGGCTGGATTGAAGCCTTCTAACATCTCCGTGTATGAAGCAATTTATAAATAGCAAGAAACATGCCATAAACCTCTTAACGTTTTGTGCGGCATTAAAAAAATAGCTCACTGATGACTGCTTAGTACATCTAGATATTTCCCTTCCCTTTGACCTTTTATTATCTCTGCTTCCTTTTCAGGAAAGGGATGACAAGAAAGGGATTTAGGCATAATTCTTATTTTTGTTCCCCTGTTTGTGAATTAAAAAGCGGAAGGAAGGACAGTGTGTGGAAGCACTGTCGCCAGCGTGATTCAAACACCAGCGTGAATCACACAGGTGCTGTTATCAATACCAGGAAATGGGGTACCCCTGACATTACTCACCTACTGGGACTGATGAAAATCAGATTCAAATTCAAGCTTCAACAGCCAAGGTGGAGTGCAACAGAGGAAGGGGTCTGGATAACTGGCTTAAATTACCGTAAATGCTTTAAACTCAGTCCTTTTCTGCTCAAGAGCTTTTCTGCTCTATGGATTGGACAACTCTTCTCCTCTTCTTATTTTTTGGAAGAGAGAGAACAATGTGGTGAAGTAACAAGATTCTAGTTATCACAGATACTACTGACAACTAAATAGCTGTTCTCCTTTTTGGTACTGTGACCACAAGTGAGGTCTCTTGTGGGAAGGGGACAAAGATCATCGGCATGATTTTGAGCCACTTTTAAGAAAAAGCAATGATTATACGAGTGTTGTGGGAGTGGAAAGTGTCAAAAAGAAAATTGAGAAGAAAGGGCACGAGTTTGTATGTTTTTCTTAGTCCTTTCAGAGCCAATTTTCTTCAAGGATTTTGAACACCAACAAAACATTCGCTTGTTCTTATTCCCAGGACTGGACTGTTGCACGTTGACATGACACCTGTATTTTCACCCTGAAAAAGCAGGCCACCACCTTGTTCACTTGAGCAAAACAAGTAGAAGCACAGACTGGAAAGTCAGGACTCTGAAAAGGGCAAACCTTCCAGGAAATCAACAAGAATCTGGGCAATTAAATCAAAACAAAATGTTACTAGCAGTTGCATGTATTAACCAATCTGCCTCCAGGTCTCCTGTGGATACTTTTTCATTCCAGAATATCAATCCTCATTTTTCAGATTTTTTTTTCCCCCACATAAAGTAGTCCCAAACCATAAAATCCTGACTATCCCAAAAGGATGGCGACTATAAAACCCCCCTTTCTTTTAATTTTTTAGCCTCTAACATAGAAATTATTTATAATCAGCAAGTAAAACAATTTTAAAGTACACATTTTTAAACCATGAGAATCCAATTTGCATTTCACAGTTTAATTAAGCATCCATTTGCTTTCCTCTATTCCTGTTTATGAAGCTACTCAGACTGTTATCAGGTTTTCATTAAACTAAAATTCTATCACAGATAAGTTGTTTTTAAAGGATGCCGAAAAATACGGCGGACATTTATTGCCAGAATTTGTATCAGTAAGGACAAATTTGCAGAAGTCTGGACTGGTGATTAAAAGAACTTAAAGTCTACCAGGATTAGGGAAGAGAATACATTTTGCTTACTGCTCTGATACATTTAGCTCTAAAGTACAGGATCGAAAGCCCTGTTTCACGTGTACCTTTAAGACACTTTACGCTGTGAAATTCTGAATGCAGGCACAGTAATGACACAATGGTCACACGTTGAAATATTTTTTTTACCTCTCCTTAGTAGTCTACCATATGCATTCACAAAGATGAGTCGTGACCTGACACTAGAGCGCGGCTGTGTGAGAAAATCCTTTCTCTAGAGAAGGGACTCCAAAGGTTTCTGTCATGTGGGTGCATGTGTGAGGAAATAGAAGGCAAGGAGGAATAATCTTCAGTAATAAATATGGGCCTCATCAGAGGAGATTTTTCAAGACAACTTAAAATGCTTAACAATCACTAACTTTAACATTACAAGAAAACTGCTAGATTGAATTAACATTACAAAATTCAGATTCAACACACTCGTGTTTCATTCGTGATGATTACATCATCATTACTGCCCTTGGGAAAGAAATCTAATCCAGAAGGCAGAGATAATCCAGTATTAGGGGGGGATGTTCCCTGATCCTGTTATTTTTGGCAATGTTGTACAGCTAGCTCTGTACGTCTTTCCAGGCTCTCTTCGTGGAATGGATTAAGACTCTGAACACAAGTAAATATGTCAGACTTCTAAACCAGTGCTAGGAGCATATCACCTGGCCAGCCAGGCAATAACAGACAGCTACTCCAGACAGCTGTAACACGGTAGCTTATTTTACATCCCACTGTAATGATTTCTGTAGTCAGTAAACACTGGAGAGTTAGAAAGATTTAAACACACTAGGAGGGCGTTGCCTGTAATGCGACCTAATGCATATTTGGAGGAAAAGATGAAGGGAAAAAAGAAAACAGATTGATCAGTTTTACCTGATCTGAAGGAAAAAGCACAATGATGACATGGCAATGATATAACTGATCCTAAAATACACCTATCTACTCTCATTAACCTCTTCTGAAACAAAAGGCTGTTTCTCTCTACAGAATCAGCCATTTCTAGGTAATCTTCAGCAAAAACAAGGGGTAAAACAACCTAAAAAGCAAAAAAAGTCAGTGTGAAAAGTAAACTTTTCCTTTTTAAAGTTGAATTTGTCCCACTTAACTTTTCCAAATACCTGCAGTCTGACTCAAGCTAGTCACCTGCTATTCCTCTGAAATCAGGGTACCCACAGAGAACAAATAATCACCCCTCTCCATCCCAAAACAGAATGAACAGCCATACAGAGGCGTCTTCAGTGAATCCAGACGGAGAATACACGTACCAACTTTTAGATATCTGGAGATAGCCAAGATAAATATCACAGCAAAAAAATCTTGGTACCCCCTTGCAATTCTAAAATTGTACGCATGGATTCTTTAGTAGCCCAACTTATGAGAAACTATTCTACATAGAGGATTTGCAATTTCTATCATATGTTCCCAAATTAAAAGAATTCTCTGCACTAGGGGGTGATGTGTCTCCTGTCTCCTGCACCTGCCAAAGTATTATTGCTAGAAGGGATGAAATGATATGAATAATTCTCTGGGTGTCTGGGTCCCATTCCCTCTGCAAGTTCCCATCCCAAACACCCCTGACACAGAGAGCACTCACCCAGGTTGACGGGGGTTTGTAGGGGAAGACTTCCCTGGCTCATGGCACAGCATTACATTTTAAGCGAGGGTTATACCAAAGAAAAGGTGATCAATTCAGCTCTAGCAGACCACATGCATGCTGGGAAATCACGGATTAGTTAAAAGCCATGCAAGTTATATACCTGGTCGTGTGGTGAGTCCTCTGTCTGCAGCTGGGCGGGCATCAACTGGCTCAACTGGACATGTGCAGAAAAGAAACAAAAAAGCAAACAGAAAATAAACAAGATGCCCCAAAATGATAAAGTCAACCACTCTTTTGCTGGGACAGTGCAGGAGAGACATACTGCATAAACAAAGTTATCAAAGCAACAGCTAAAAAACATCTGCCTCCAGTTAATCCTGGAAACAAAAGGAAGGGATGGGCATGACTTCAAAACGAAAGCTTCACAGCTGATGTGTCAAATTTACATCATATTCTAGTTACTGCTTAAAATGAGCAACCATCAAGATCAAAGAATTACTGTCTGTAGAGTGCAACTATATTCATTATATGCCAACTTTTCCAGTTGTCTGATCAGAATTGGCAGGAAGAATGGATGTGATGAGTGAGGTTTGCAGCTGGTCTTGATCAATGTCAACTTATAAACCCACCGAATCCTGACTTTCTTTCCTTTCCATAGTGATTCTTTACAGCACTAGCTATAACATTTGAAGAAAGTAAAGCACACTTTAAAAATACGATCAATATTTCACTTTCTTTCCTTTCCATAGTGATTCTTTACAGCGCTAGCTATAACATTTAAAGAAAGTAAAGCACACTTTAAAAATACAATCAATATTTCATTCTGATATGTTCTGACTTGTAGACAGTAAATTTGCCTTCTGGTTTTTGAAAGGGAAGCAAGGGAGAAACACCACTTTATACTCAATTGTGTGTCATACACAGTTTAAAAACTCTTGTATTACTGTACTAAGGCTCTACCAGTTAAAACTGAAGATTGAAGGGGCTCACTGGCATTAATAGAAAATAGGATGTGCAAAACTTTTAGACCTATCATCTACTGCCTCCATTAAGTTTAAACTGAACATACTCAAGAAGTTCATTAAAATATCCAGATTGTTTTCCACCTCCTTTTTTTTTTCTTGTTTGATTCTCTGTTTTATTCCAATACTGTTGGCTTCCTTATCTACCCAACTGCCACTGTCAGAAAGAAATTAAATCCAGAAATAAAATTTTATGTTGTAGCCTGGAATTTAGATTTTTTAAAACAAGGTATTCTCATTCATTTGAATTTCAGATTGAAGTATGAACCTTCTATAATCAGCAGTAATGGAGCCACAATAACACGTAACCTTAATAAAAGCAGAGTTTTCAGTCGCAAACTGCTCACGGTATCCAGCATCAGAAAAACCCCGCTAACCTGACGATACTGCTGACTTAAGTGAGGGGACTGCCCATCTTCTTAGGAAGTCTGTGTCACTTGCTTAGTGTTCCTACAGGCTTGACAAACAACCTACCATGCTGGTAAGTGAGAGCCTATATGTCCCCCATGTCCTTTGCACACAGGAGATGACTGCAATAGCTCCTGCCTCCGGAAAAAAGCAGTAACTCAGCTTTATAGCAGCCACAGACCAGAACTGCATCTGCACATCTCTCGCTTGTGTTTCCAGAAGGGCAAAATTTTCACAGAGCTGGTCTGGTGCTGCACAGACAAGCCATCAAACCATTTGCTTCACAGCAATTCAGAGTGGCACTAGCAGACCATGTAATTGCTTTTCTTACACAATGCTATAAAATAACTGATTTCCATCCTTAACTAAAAACTACAATTTTGAGTATTTTCCTACTTAAGTCTTCTGCTAGGTTTTCCAGTATTGCAGGTGCCAATCCTCACGTAGGTCAGCAGTAATTTTTAGTGGGAAAAAATCAAAGGAAACAAACAACTGAGGCCCAACATTATTCAAAATGCGCAACTGGTTGTGGGTTGCAATAAAAATGAGAGTAGGGGAAGAGAGAAAAGGATGGACCTGATCTCAGGGTAATGCAGTATTTGTAGAATTAGGTCAAAGTATTAACAATGAATAATTTTTCTTCTCATCTATAGTTTTGAAAGCGCTTTACAGGGGAAAAGGCAAACATTACCAGCACACTTCACAACTGATACAAAAGTGATTACCCGCTTAAGGTCACAAATGAGTTGCAGGGCAAAAACTGAAGGCAAAAGCTCAGAGCCAAGGCTCTTCCAAAGCAATCATGACTCCAGGTGCCTAAGTGCAGCATGCCCCAGGCAACACAGCACAAAGAAAACACGTTTTCTGGAGAGCTCTGGGCTGCCACCTTTTGAATTTGTTGCATTTTAAAACCTGCTTTCTCTTGCCCCTGTAATGATGTATGCACTAAGAGCAGTTAACTCTGAAAAACCTTGTCAGTGGGCTTCCTCACCGCTTGCTATGACACCTCATAATGGCTGATATAAAGAGCAGTTGTTTAAACCTATTACATCATTTATTGGTAATCAAAACTCTAAGATGTATTATTATAAAAACTGTATTAATTTTGATGCTCTGGAACCTGTTTCTCTTGAACATACATTTCCATGTGCATAGAAGTACACAGAATTAAGACTGAAAATTTAAGTTCCAAATAGCTTCAAAAAACTGGATCAGTATATACCTGCTTACACTGATTACACAGACTTCATACAGGGTACACACTCCACCTCATATCTAATGCTAGAAAAAGCAAGACAGAATGTGGCTGCCTCTCTTTTCAAAAATAAAAGAAAGGTAAATCAACAAGCTCAAAAGCTGGTACAAACCAGCAAGAAAGGAGAGCTATGTGATGCTCAGCTCCTAAGAACAGCATCGAAGCGAGTAACTGGCCAAGTCATAAGCACGTTCACAAAAGCCACGCTTTACAGAATCAAAGAATGGTAGAAGCTGGCAGGGACATCTGAACATCATCTAGTTCAACCTCCCCTTCCAGGGCATCCTTTGTCACTAAGGCTAACTGTAACTTCATGGTAAAATACAAAGGGTAACGTGCTGAACCCAGTCAGTCCAGGGCAAAATGCCCAGGGATCTTGGCAGTGACAGAGCTTCACAGCTGTTGGGGTTTTGCCCCCACCTCTGAAGGTTTGTTTCTCATTGTTAAAATACAGTTTCCTGACAGTCTGGTGCTGCCTTCTGCAGTGTCCTCTGAGGGAGCTTTTTGTTAGCTGAATTTGTATCTCAATACTCTACATATATGTTCGGTCATGCAAGTTGTATAGTGTATTACCTGGTGCTTTGGATTAATATCTGTGGACATTTACTGGGATACTACCTCAGGGAAACAACAAAGAAAATATTTTCAGAAAATACTGGCTTACGCTAGACTTTCAAGGCCTTTTTATTTTTAGGCTGTTTTTCACTCATTCATCAGAAAAAGCAATTTTAGTAAAATGAAATGCTTGCATAAAAATTATCCTTTTATCTAAGCATTCAGTTTGGACTGGGAAGATTTCAGATGGAGTTATGAAACCCTGAGATTACATGCCAATGTACTAATCCAAACCATTATTAATATCTCCGGGTGAAACCTGGGATTAGGTCACGGCCATGGAAGAAAACAGGCATGGGAACTAACGACAAATTTAAGGTACTTTTTGTAGTATTTTAACTTTATTGGTTGTACACAGAATACTTTGAAACACAGATTTAATAGATGCCTTTCCTTCCTCTTTTGCCACAGTCATGTTTTGGATTACACGTTCCCAGGATGGATTGTTAAAAACAAGCCCCATCATTGTGACTGTGCTGGAGGGAGTGAGATCCCAGGTCATAACCCGGCCAGCTCCAGGATCTGTTCAGTTGCCTCTCAGACATCAATGGTCCCACTGGAAATGGTTTTGTCATCCTACAGTATCTGAGCTTTCTCTATCATATGAGTTTTGAACTGATCAGTGGTTATTTGTTAAGAAACGGCAATAATGTGCTCAGTACTGCATAAAATACAAAAACCTCCCTGCATAAGGGGAACTGACTGTGAAAAACAGACAATGCAAGATCTTCGGTGAAGAGGGAAAGGAAAAAAGAGAAGGAAAAAAATAGGAGGAGAAAATTGTGTCATTTGTTATTTACTTCTTTTGGAAGCAACGCAGACAAAGCCTGGGACTAGATGATGGCCACGAAAAACAACAGGCATGGGAAGGGGCACAAAAGGCACACTTAGCCCTGCTTTTCTGGAACAAGGAGGTGGGAGACAAACACAAAGGAAAAAGATGAGGCTATGAAATTCCCCTTTGATACTATGGAAAGAGAGGGTATCTAAAGAGAGAAAGAAGGTACTGTAGGCATGATCACGTTAACAACACTGTGTTTTGGGTAGATGACAGAGAAGTGCAATGAAGAACTTGAAGAGATTTAAGGCATTAAATAATTTCTGTTTTTAAATGTGCAGACTTAAAGCCTAATAACGGTTGGCTTAACATAATTGTTTGCTGCAGTAGCTCCATGACAAATACAATCCTGATATCAAAAAACCCCACCTAAACTCCAACAATTAAAGGCATGAAAGTTAAAAGATGTTCCCACAACAAACATTAAGAAGTGCTTCAACAAACAGTGTAGTGCATTAAAACATACAGCATCTATAATTAAACAGTGTATTACTCAGGCAGGAGAGTTTTTGCTATTTATTTGCTGTTCCACAAAACACAGTTTTGCCTGAAAAAAGACTGTAGCTCCAGCGTCTGTGAATCTACTGCTGCTTTGCAGTAACAAACTTTCACTGTTGTGATTAACTTATCACTAATGATGGTGGAGTTGAACTGATAAAGGAAAACAAACACAGGAGGAACTTGAATGACAATGATCAAAGCCCCTCAGATTTCTGATTAATTTGCTTAGGCACCTGAAAAAACTACCAATTCCAGATTATAGATAAATTATTCAAGTATTATGCAGACACGTCAATAAATTAGTCCATAAACAACATAAACCACTTCTCAGGAAAAGACGTTTTCACAAGCCAGTTGCATTGCTGAATATGCAGGAACATTTCTGCAGTACATTCCAGACAACCAGTGGCAGGGGGGAATAAAATCAACTCTCATGCTAGGATTGTGCTGGATCTGTAATCATTTTTATGCCAGCAAATAAAAACCTCTTCCCTAACTAAAACACTCATTTCATCATGGCACAAATCTAACAACTTATCTGTCTCCCTTAGCTAACCGTCATGTATTTTATAAGACTGTCACTCATAATTTGCTGGAATTTATTTCTATTTGTCTTTAAAGGAAAATAAGCTCAGCACTGAAATTTACTGTCTGTTTAAATTCCACATTTTAGCTGGGATTTGCTGCTCCATCAAAGAGATAGAGATGACATGGTAGACCAGTTATAAACTCACATTTGAGAACCTCTATCGTGCTTACATCAGAGAGATGTCAATTTTCAGGGAATAACATGAAGAGAAACCACAAAGCTCAACTCAAAATATTTTGTAGTTTCTCCCCCTATTGCACATACCTTCATTTTCAGTGTTAGCTGGAACAGAATCAACACCAAAGGGATGCCATGGCTGAAGGTCATCTAGGCTGAACTCTCCATCCACTGGAAGAAGTTCAACCGTGGTCTTAGTTTCCGTCAATGAAGGCATGAGAGCATCATTTCCATAGCTGATTCTGGGTTCGCTGATCATATTGGCCAAAACATCGTCAGAATAGTTTTGCTCTTTCTGAAGTAACTCATCTGCAAGGAAATTTCAACATAGAAATTATCTGAAAGAGCTAGCATTTCTGAGGACATATTTCTAATGCTATTAAAGTAATAATTTACTGTTACAAGATTCTGTTTTCTTATGACAAAGAAAATCATAAAGGCATGGGATAGTCAAAACTGTGATTTATTGTTACGATACTTTGTTTTTTTACGATAGAAGAAAACATAAAGGCTTGGGATAGTCAAAACTCTTGTGATGAGCACTACTGGTAAGTAAGACTTTTTTTTTTTTTTTTTTGGAAACATCAACCAGAACTGTTCAGTACCATTTCCTACCCACATTTCCATCATACAGCAGATCCTAGGTCCACGCTTTTCAAGACTGTGGACTCTTCCCCCCAGTTTTTAAAAGAAGCACAGACGAATTCTCTCCAAACTCAGCATGTTGCCATAAGTCAACATATGAGTGGCCTACAGCAAGGAATGCCTCACTATCAAAGCTTATCACAGATCTTAAATCCTAAATCACAATGGTTACTGTATTAAATTGAACTTACAATAACACACTAAATTTGAACAAACTTTTGCTCTTTTATCATATACAACTTTGCCCAAATACTTAAGTAGCTCTTTGCTAAAAATCTTAAGTAGTAATAGACATATGTAGGCACATAATTTTAAAATCTAGGGGGTTTGTGTTTTGTTTTGGTTTTTTTTACTTGAAACAAGGTAAGAATATTTAAAGCATTTTTCAGCTCCATCAGGTGTTGGACAAACTGTCCCAACTCGGTGTCAAAAACGAGCTTGTGTGTGCTTCACTATTCCAACTCCCTTCTCAAAACAAAGTTCATCTACTCTTGATCTCCTTCAACGTTTATTTTTTTTGGTTGGAGCAACAAAATACACAATTCGCAAGTAGTTGGAGGGAACTTGGTACACAAGAGCACATTGAAGCAAGCAAGCAATTGCAATGAAGGTAAGTAACTGCTAATAACGCACCAAGATAATTCCTAAGCAGGCGTTACAGAGCTAAATCGTTCAGAATCAAAGACTGTAAAGGTGACATTACTAGAGTGCAATTGCTTGCACACACGAGCACACACATGATAGCTGAGGATATAAAAGCTTTTATTAGAACTGGCTTCTCTGCACTTCATTAGGGGGCTGGTTAGCTCAGTCAGTTAGAGCACGGTGCAGGTAACACCAAGGTCTTGGGTTCAATCCCCGCTCGGTCCCCATGTGTTGCCTGATCTAGTTGAGAGGCGTCCCTGCCCATGACAGGGAGGTTGGGTTAAATGATCTCTAAGGTCCCTTCCAGTCTAGGCCATTCTATGATTAAGGATACCCTGACTGTCACTGCCTCACACTCACCTCTGAACCCTGTAGAAATGCAGGGAGAGGAATCACCACTCTCCTGCTAGACCTTTATGTCACCTTGTAGGGCCTCACTTATTTCCTAGTATCATCGGCAATAAAGGGCATCTAAATTTCTCTACACACCAGAACTTTAGATCTCTCAGTAAAACTGTCTGATTGTTATTTCCCTCCCGACCTTACACCACGCAGTACTATCCCAGAAGTACGCTGTGCCCATGCGGCAGCCCTCAGTAAGGATCCTCACTGAGCCATGAGCATCAGAGCTGGCACCGCTTCAGTGCCTTTACCAATGAAAAGGTAGTAGGGCTCTTCAATATGTCTCTTAAAGACCACTTCGAGATAACGGGTCCAACTCTCTGTCACCCTATGACTATATCAAGATCAGAACACCGAAACTAAACAAAACGTTGAAACCTCAGCCCTGGGGCAAACACGGGTCCTGAATTTTACAAAAGGATTTTTTAAAAACAAATTCTCCTGTTTAAATGGCAATTGTTTTAGTAGCCAATAAGCCTAATGTATACACAAAATATAACTCTGTGATTTAATTTATTCATTAGAATGACTTACTAGGACCTATGTAACACTCAACTGGTTTTCCCTTTGTGTTCATTTTACTGAAAACAGAATTATTTTATAAGGTACCTAATAAATCTTCAGCATGGAAGGCAAGTCCGATTTTTGTCTCCCCACTGCACTTATACTAATCCTTGACTAAATTAAAGCACCTCCTTGTATCAGAGGAGAGACAAGTGAAGCATCTTGATGTTCTGAGAAGACATTGTACCACATGACAGACATCATTTTTCATTAGCTAGGGATGAAAAGACATTACAAAAAAGGAGTTGGGTGTTACTGCCCTAAACAAGAAGTCTGGTGTCTGAGTGCCTTGCAGAGAGCCACAGGTAATACCAGCTGAGCATGTGCCAACATCAAGTCATCACACAAGAAAGTGACAATTACAGTACTGCTGAGCATCTCAGTGCTTGCGAGCCTTTCAGACCCAGGAACCAGAGGAGTTCTGGTGTGCAGTTC